TTCTTCTTCATTTCAAAATGCCCAAGAATAAAATGTATTAAAGTATCAATTTCAAGATATATCATTTTTACCTAAATATTTTGCATGATACATGTAAATTTATATTGAATTCTTCCTGTAAAAAAACAAAAAATTAAAATCATAAAAGATTTTGACACAAATATGATTCCTCCAAAGTAAGATTCCTGTCCCTAAGTAGAATTTAATAAAATCAGAAAGTGTAGTAATAGTTCTTCTTTGTTTACCAGCTGAGAAATCTAGTCAAACCTTCAGATTTTATCTACACATTTAGTGTTTTTCATTTTTCTTTAACAATTGTATTATTTTAAATGATAATGAAAACTAATACTAGGTAAGATTGATTGATATTTGCTATAGGCAAAGCAACATTCTAATTTACATATGTTAGTGATTCTTTCAATCATCATGAGCTGCTTAAGTGTTTTGTGGATGTGAATATATATATGCAGGATAAATAAATGCACAATTGAAAGAGGTCTGCAGCTTGGATTCCACAGACATTCCTGGATTCTATGCTTTACTCCTCAGAAGTACAATGAACTGTGTGAAAATCATTCATTTAAGTTCAAAATGTCCGTAAAGTTAGATGAAAATGATAGTAGAAGTTGCTAAAAGAAATAAAACACATTTCACTTATTTTAAAGTAATAATGATGACTTGTTAAACAAGTGTTTTCTACTCATTTTGTTCTTTTCCAAGAGTAAGAAATTTGGGACCAGTGAGATGCCTTACCAGGTAAGGGCATCTGTGGCCAAGGCTGAACTTGCTTCCCCAGAGCGACACTGCAGGAGTGGGGAACTTGCTCCTGCAGGCTGTCCTCCAACTCCACAGGAGCACTTGGCCCTGTGAAAAGGGAATCTGCACACAGAAGTAATCAATACACCAATAAGTAAATTACTGTAAGCAGAAATAAGTCATATGGTAAATAAGTCACAAATAGTTATAAAAGTATGACTATTAAAGTAAATAAATTATTTCTAGGAAAAACAGTATAGGCAATTGCTTGAGTTAATATGATAGATATGAACAAATAAACCACATCTGTTTTTAAAGCTTTCTACATTCATTTATTGTGGGTGTGGTGTTGTGTAGTGTGGTGTGTGTGTGTGTGTGTGTGTGTGTGTGTGTGTGTGTGTGTGTGTACTACCTGTGTCATAGCATGTGTGCAGAGATTAGAGACAATATGCAGGAATTGGTTCTTTCCCTCTACCATTCTGGTTTGGGAGGTGGAATTGAGGCACAAGCTTTGGCAGAGTACTAATTCCATTCTGATTCTGTGATTATAAAATACTTCCCCCAAAAAAACAAAATCAAGGAAGAAAGGCTTCATTTTGGTTTGCAGTCTTTCCAGACAGACACAGTCCTATGGCAGAGGAAGCATGGTGGTAGGAGTGTGAGATCAGCTCTTGACATTGCTTTCACAAGCCAAGAGCCACCAGGAGGTGGGATTGGGCTGGAAAACCTCAAAGTTCACCTCCATTGACATCCTTTCTCCAAAGCTCCACCTCCTAAAGTCTCCACAATCTTCCTAAACCATGCTGCCAGCCAGGCACCAAGTGTTCAAACACAGGAGCCTTTGTGGGACATTTCATATTCAAACCACAACAGATGGCAAGTGTTATTATCCATAAGCCATTCCAAGCCCCTAATCAATAGTTTCTTTTTTAAACTGAAATTTTCAATATTTAGTTTTCTATATATGTATTCAATAAAATTTTAATAAGAGCACAACACAGTGTTATGAGCTGATTGGGTAGATGCACATTCTTTTATACTTTATATTTGCTTAACAGGTGATTACATCATTTACTAAATTGTCTTTTTAAGAAAACACTAAAGTTTAATATTAACACTATTCCAGAGTAGGAGTCCAAAGCACAGGCAGTAAAAAGCCATCATTTTTTTTTCCACTCCAGGTACAGATTTGATGATAAATTGGAAACACTAGTAAATTTTACCTCTATTCTTAAAAACAAACCCACGACAGACCCAGACAAAAGAAGACAATGGTTGTTTATTTTACTTGAAAATATTTACTTTAGAAGTAGAAGATAAAATAAACAAAGAGGCTGTGAAGGCTTCAGGAAAGCCATGGTATTTCACAGTTTTTGTGCCAGAGATGCATCTTATGCTGTGTGGATTAACTTTGCAAGCAATGATCCATTCACCTATGCTACTTATGAAACTATTATAATGCTGTAAGAACTTCCTAATGATGTCTTTTAAATAAAATTAATTATTTGTAATTACTTTATAAATATTCAGTTTCTCCACTTTATTCCAGGGGCATCAATTTTCACTATCAACTATAATTTTAATCCACTCTATTTTTCCCTTAAAATATTCCCTAGAATTTGATTTTAAAGTAGTTTCTCTGGGTATATTTTCCCTTCATACTCTTATTTATCCTTTATACATATTTATTATTTTCACTCCCTTAATTATAATTGCTATCTGAATTTATATAACTGGAATATAGATTTTCATATAAATTAAGACTATAGAAATTCAGTATTACTTCTTATTTGAAAGGCAAAATTCGAAGAGCCAAATGTAGGTTGCCAGAGCAAAAACTATTACTCTCGAATAATCCTAATATTTAACTTAATATTGAACACAATTGTTTCTAATATGACATTAATATAATGACATAGCTGATCGGCTCAGTTAGTTAAAATATAGTGATGTAACTGTGTTGTGTCCTCTGGGTGCAGGCCACCCTGACCAAGTGTTCTTGAAATTGCAGCTATACTCCAGGGGTGCAGAAGGAGACTGGAAAGAGAAGTAAGAGGGAAAGATTTGTCATACTTCTCCAACCCATTTCCTGAAGTAGGTGGAGCCTTTCAAATTCAGTGCCCAGACCTTGTGTGATGCAATATTAGGAAAGTGGGTGTAGGCAGATCAGTAGACCTCTGAGGACAGTGTGAGAACTCCAGAAGGGGCTAGCATAAGTTACAGAAGGAGGACAAACTGGCTGGTGAAGAATGTCTGGCAGGATTACCAGAAAAGATCAGAAAACTGCCAATGGTGAAAGATGTTTCTGGATTTGTTTGTTTGACCTTGTAATAAATATGAATTGTGGGTTCATTTTAATGTTGTTTGAGAAATCTTTAAACACTGAAATTCCTGTTCAATTATTTTTCTTGGTTTAGATTCAATATTTTATCAATTACTGGTGAAATCACAGTTCAGTGACCATTATAAACTTTAATACCACCTGAACAGTCATGACTCCCATGTCATATGAAAAAGACACAAACAAATAGATATATTAGCATTGCTGTATAAAGGAAGCCTCTTGTACCCATGCATATAATTAAAAAAATAAACTTGGCCAATATTCTGGCCAAATGAATAGATCGATCTTAAATTTATATAGGCTTATATTCTTGTTAGCATTAATTGTCAAGTTGATACAGCCTAGCATGATAAGAAAGGAAAGCCTTGGTAGAGGAGTTACATAGATCAAATTGGACATGTCTATAGGGTAATTGTCTTGTTTATTAACTGATGGAAAAGGCAAGTCACTGTGGGCAGTATACTATACACAAAGACTAGCTAAACATGAACTGTTGAGTGAGTCATGGGGTAAACTGAAAGAAGAGTTCTTCAATGGCTTCTGCTCCACGTTCCTACCTTAAGTTTCTACCTAATTTCCCTCAATGATGGATTCAGACTTAGAAGTATAAGCCAAATAAAACTTTTCCTCTCCAAATTGCTCTAGATATGAGTGTTTAATAACAGCAACAGAAAGGAGAATATAATGGCATATGAAGAAAATAAACTGTCTATAGGAAGAATTGCATGTGCTGGTTTTCTTCTTGTGGTCTGAGACATTATGTAGTGATTTGTGCTTTACTTATAGGCATCAAGCTCTGTTGGTTATATTGTTGTAGGTGATTTTTTTGTTTTGTTTTGTTTG